TACACACTGGTCCTTTAAGTTAATATGCGTAAAATCCTTATTGTTTCCATAAGTGAATCACATGTGAAATCATTAACAGTATTTGTAAAATACATAAAGAAATGAAGAGAGGGAAAATTAGGCAAGAAATTGACTGACACAAAAACAAAGAGAAAATCAAAGTGAAGCAGGGAGACAATTCAGCTGCACTTCAGAGAAAACACAGTATAATAAGTATAATAAGGGTATTTACTACCTCTGACAAGTGCAGACAACGAAGAAAGTGACTAAAAACCAAAACAGGGTTCCCACTCTTTTTAAGAAATCATTTTCCAGGAGATTTTCTTGACAATACAGGACGGCACTTGCTCACAATGTTAGTCTGCGTTTATAGGACACAGTGCAGTAGCATTTCCAAAACAGATTTGACGCCAAACGTTTGCTGCATGACAAAGGAATTTGTATTGTCAGAGTGCGCAGCTCCTCCTTCCGACAGTCGAGTTTCAAACAACATATGCTCCCAGGGTAACATAATCTCAGTGAGGGGCTATGATACAATTAAACTTTCCCAGGACAACATAGACTATTTCCAGGATATTTTGTCATTTTTATCAATTTCCAGGTGTTTCCATGACTGGAAAACTAGTCTCTAAATTTCCAGATTTTCCAGAATGCTTGGGAACCCTGAAAATGAACCCCAGCTTTATTTTATCATTTCCACCCCTGAGAACTGCAAAAAGAGTGTGTAACAAAAGTTTTTTTAAAACTACAGATTTAAATTCACCAAAACCCAGCCAGACCCAATTGGCAGTTGGGTCAAACAAATTAACTTTGAGGCTATTGACAAACTAAAAGACCTTTGACCTTTGAATGAATCTTTGTTTACTACAGTTGTATTCAGAGATATAAATGGTAAAAAAAGCTTTCAGGTTTGTTTTGCCTATCAGTGGTTCAACAGGTTTACTTACTACTTAAACTGTACAGATGGTGATCTGACCTGTGCTTCTTTTTAATGTCGGTGAAGATCTGCACATGCTCAGCTCCAATCTGCTTGCGATATCTCAGCAAGCCCCCAGCGCAGGCATTCAGGAAACCCTCATCAGCCACGTGAGAGAAGACAAAGCCCTCAGCTCTGATGAAATCCAGACCTGCGACCATAAAGTAACAGTGACTGTGTCAAAGTTGTGGCTAAGTCTGAACCACAATTAGCTGACCTCCAATCACAGTTTCTTGGTAAATATCAAACACACAGCAGCTTATTTCACTGATAAACACACCTTCAATCTGTTTGCTAGGAAAATCTGTTTCAACTTTGGCCGTGATAACACATGACTAAAGACCTCTGTTCTGTTCTGTCCTGAAAGCTTTGGCTGCAGATGATTACAGCCTCATATCCAGCACAACGATCACTTAACCAACGTAAAGACCGAACCTGAAGCCAGAGCTACAGCCAGCGCCTCCTGGTTGGCAGAGGAAAGTATTTGCACTCCGAGTGGCAGGGATGGACAGATGCTTCTCACAGCAGTGCACACTGCAGTCATACAGGTGCACACCTCAGGGCCCACGGAGAAGGAGTAAGGGATGTCGTGCATGTTCTCAATGATTACACCATCCTGAAAGAGGGGTATACAAGCGGTGGTTACTGGCAGGCCTGGAAAGACTTCAAATGTGTAAGGAATTCACACACAATGTGCAATAACTCACAACCCCTGCATCACGGTAGATTGCTGCCTCCCTGCATGCTTCTTCAGTGATCTGGGACATCTTCATACAACCCAGGGGGGTGCCTGAGATAGACGACAAACTTGGTTACATACAGTACGAGATATCACAAATGCTCCCAGATCTGCAGTCGTGCAATGCAACTAAGTACATTTATTAAAATACTATACTGAAGTAGTTGACTTGAGTATTTCTTTCCACTTTTACTCCACAGTTCAGAGAGAATATTGTACATTTTACTCAACTAGCATTAGTTATAGTTACTGGTTAGTAACTTAACAAATTTGATCATCTTAATAAAATATGATACATTGTTAAACCAGTGGTTCTCAACCTCTTTGGTGGCAAGGATCCCCAAATTAAACACAGGCCGCAGACCTATATGTGATAAGATGTAGTCTCTCCCGTCTGATAATATAACTGTCTATACGGTAGGTTGGCAGATTAACAGTGAAAAGTGTGAAACCTACTGTACTGTATGAACAGAATAGTCATTCTTGTAGATTCTCTCGTTGAGCTAACTTCTAGTCAATGAAATAGTAGTTTAATAAATGATTCCCCATTTTTGTGGGGACACCCGCAAGGAGCCCTGGGGGTCCCCTAACTCACTACCCAACAGTAAAGTAGTTTAAAGGAGCTTCACTTACACCAACAGTAACAGATATATGCTACTTACACATTAACACATGGGCAATCTAATAATTTAATAAATATATAACAGTATAACATTCACTGGGGCTGTTTTTCTGCATTGAGAACTTTTTCAACATTTTCAATGCAGGACAGTTGTAATGGAGTACTTTTACTGTGTGGTATTGCTACTTTTACTAAAGTAAAGAAACTGAATGTCTTCATCCACCACTGACAGCTTTACATTAGAACATTGAGGGCAGAGGTCAGTGTAGTTTACCTGGTAAGGCTTTAACGTGAATCATTCCAATAACCACAGATTTCAGGCGCCCAAAAAGGTCCAAAAACTTCATGTTGCCGTTTTTGTGAAGAATCCAGGGAGCTGAGGAAAAAATCTTGTTTTTCAGTCTTTCTATGCATGCAGATCACGTGACTGGCCAAAGGTCAATTTAGTTTAATCGAATAAGATTATAAACAGTAGACCATCCTCAAAATCTATATCAAGCCGGTAGTATATAAAACGATTGTTTATCTTCATTTACACCAGAACCTGGATTAAAACGCATTTAGCAGTGCAGCAGGTTAGTTTGTAGAAGATTGCGTGGTTGAAATAGGAGGATAAATGGCAACCCGCGCGGGAAATGGGCGCCGACAGAAGCACCGGCAGGCTAACATAGTTATTTTTTTGCTAAATAATAGATGCGCCCAGGGTGACAGTGAGTGACAACCTTCAGTGGAGTTCACAGAACGTGAAGGCTCAGTTAGTTCACCATAATGTGGCCGTGTTATGTTTTATTTTAGTCTGAATCCAAAGGACTGCGGCTTTGTTTACATCTGACAGACTAGCCACGCGGTGCCCGAACACTTCCTCGTTGGAAACTCCGCCCCCGCAGCTGTCACCAACGGCAGTCACGCCTTCCGTTTATAAAACTTATTTTTCCTTTTCTTTAGCACAATATAGACCGACTGTATCAAACAAGTGTGCTCTACACACGCTACGGGTGTGAAACTGTGGTGAATGGGGCTGAATTTAGTTTATAAAGAGGCGGCGGAGTTGGGGGTTTAGCGCCAAGTTAAAGCTACTCCTCCCTGACGTTGATGCTTTAAGTCATCTGTTCTCTGCAAGGCGCCTGCTCAGAGGACAAGCAGCTCCTGGCCTGGACACACACACACTCTCTCACAGCACCTCCGAGTCGGAAAAACAGGCGGTTAACTTACACAATACTCATTTCTTTTTAAAAAAGTGGATAAAGAGTGAACTTCAAGGGCAGAATCTTGAGGTGAGTGGATGAAAAGAAACTCGAGTTAGTTAAGCTAGCTTCAGCTGCAACTTTAGTAGCTAAGCTGAGTTAAACGCTGGCTAAAGCAGACCAAGTTGAAGCGCGGTTAATTGATTAACCTAAAGGTTTTTCTATGGATGCTCATACTGAAATGTCGCTGTGTTAGTTGGGTGTTTGTTGCTGTTACTGTTCATTGTTGGTGTCCCAGTTCTGCCTGTCGTTCGGCCATTATGTGGCAAGCCAGCTGTCCAAAGTTAGTTGGGGGGAAATAATCAGGTTCCCCCTAAAAATACGCGAAATAACAACGCTAAGCAGCCAGCATAGCGTCTGATGTTTGTCACAGACTAATTTCAGAATAAACGTGCAATATGTGGTACTTTTTGGCGACTTTTAACATCGAGTACAGTTTGCATTTCCCCGCGTCGCCTGAGTTGGGCTTTGTCAGAAGGAGGGAGTTGAGAGAGTGGGGGTTGGGAGTGAATGAATGTGTTTTCTGAAACCCCAGAAAATAAGTAAAAAACCCTTCTCATTCACAGGTTTACTCCGAAACGGACACACATCCCTCTGAGTATAATGCGGGGAGAACGGTGAGTTCCATGTTTATTTCATCCATTGCTCGTTTAAGCGCGGCAATCAAAGTGTGTGACGACAGAAAGGAAAGTTGATGGGAGCTTTAGCCATCCGGGTAGCTAGCTTGTTGCTATAATGACCTTAATTTGAGCACATTAACACGTATTTTCAAGCTTTTTAAAATGTTTTATGCTAACCCAGAGACTCACAGCCACCTGTTTGTTCTGTTTTGTTGCTTTAGGGAAGACACAGAACCGAAGTCTGTTGCTCCCGAGGCGCCCAAGGAAAGTACAGTACGACCGAGAAAGAGGAAGGCAGATGTTGCCATTGTAAGTAGTCTGAAAGGCTTGCAGACTAGCCGAAAAGTGGCCCCATTTTCAGCTCCAGTCAAAATGTAAAACTGGTGTCACATCAGTGGGGTAAAGCAGGGTATACCCAACCACTTATTTTTCAGCCTGCATTGGGTATATCTACTTCTAAATCCCCTGTGCTGCTGTGTCTTTCAGTAGGGTTCTAGGAGCTGACTTTTTTTTTCTGGCCCCTCAACCAGCAGTTTAAGATCCCTGGAGAAAGGAATAAGGACTCAAAATGCATCATTATTTAGTTGGCTCACCTGTCTGTGGGCCAGGATTGATTCTTTTGTAGCCAGTGTTAATTTCATAAAGCTCTTTGCTCCCTAAAGTCAGGCAGCAGAAGTTAAATGACAATGTGCAAATACTGCTGGTCCATTTTCAGGTGTGAGAGTGGGACATTAATCCTTTTCAGGATGGGCAAAAAATAAAAATGAGGGCATACATTTAGATTATACTACACCACTCTGTCATATATATTCATCATTATTGGCAAGTCAATACAGCTTATATTGACCATTGTTGCATTTACTTTATTTATTGGTGTTTACAAGAAAAGCAAAACACCTATCGGACACGATTCAGTTTCTACCTTTTTACCAACTCTCGTGCACTGGGTATTGATCTGATCAGCTCTGTGCTCTTTGTGAATTGAATCACATACAGACTGACCTCATTTTTTGGTGCCATTGCCAATGCTAGGCTCTCTTCCTGCTTTTGAGGTGGGCTGGTAATTGAGAACATGTTACTACAAATGTGATTATCAGTAACCATCCTGTGGGCAGACAGTACTACAAAGTGATACTCAACTGAATCCTTCTGTGCTCCTCAGTGTTTAAAAGATCTGGATGATGACGTAGCAGAGATGACAAAGAAGAAGCAGCGTGAGTGTGAGGTGAGCACTTGGCGGCAAAAAATCTGCCTCACTCTAGTCTTAACCCGCATCTCAGTTCTGTTGTGTCCATGGCCTGGTCACGGAGTCTCACCCCTTGGTCTGTACTGTATCAAATGTAACGCAAGCTTGGTTGCTCATTCCATAAGCACACATTGGTTGATCTGTTGTAATTCTGCCTTAACTAGTACTTGACATTAGTTAGGGAGGTGCGCTGACTCCCTTTCCAGGCTTTCATGTATAGAGTCGGGCCTATCACAACATGTTTCTTTCTGTGACCGTACCCTCGCATTTTTCTTATGCCATCTGTCTGCTCTCCCTCTCTCCTGTGAAGCTGGGCTGGAGTCCTGATCCTGGTTACACAAGTCCACACAGGTGGATCCCCACACCTGATCAGGAAGAGGACCAGCCAGTCCTGATAAATGCATGCATTCCCAACTACAACGTAAACAACATATATTCAACCCCTGTGCATTGTGCCCCGCTGCCTGCGCTGTGGTGAGTACTGTGGATTATCTCAGGTGCTCTATGATATCCTGGCACATGCTGGTGTTTAACATTAGAGACATATAAGTAAAGCCCAGGCTCCTTTTTAGTGTTCATTTGTCTGCGGTTGCCGCTCATAATTTTTCCCCTTCACCTTCAGTCACTACCTCCCTAACTGCAGCTAAAATACAGCCCTGTCAAGCCCTGTAGGAGCTTGAGCACTTGAAGTGTTCACTCAGTATTTTCTGTTCTTGTGGTTTATGTGGCCACTTTAAATACATCTGTTACAGCTTTGCATGTGTTGCACAAGAGTTACCATTGTGTCCTTCCTGTGTTGTTACCAGCTGGGCCAGTAAGGATGTGGTGTGGAACAACATGCTGGAGAAGGATAAGACCTATACCAGGGACGTTCACATGATGGAGAAGCATCCTCATCTGCAGCCCAAGATGAGGGCAATTCTCCTGGACTGGCTCATGGAGGTCGGTAGCATGTCTGGGTGACCAGTATGACAACACCTAAGCATGTAATGACTTTCATTTTGATCATTTCAGGTGTGTTGGGTGATAAAAGTAAAAGCTGCATTTATAAGCATCTACTGGCCTGCACAGTATGATTAAATTGGCTCTCATGCTTTCTGATAAGAGAAAGTAGACGGCAAAGGAACAAAAATCCTTACAGAACATTTAGTTTCGTGACTGTAGAACTGGTGCTAGTGGAAACTAGGCCGTAGGTCAGTGGTTCCCTGCCTTTTCCTTTTTTATTTCTATCATTGAGTAAACAGATGAGTCCTGACTAAGTGACCCATATAGAGGTTTCATATTATATTCAACACATACAGAACAACTGATAAACTGTACAGTGAACCCAAACAGAGACCACAATAACTGCAGGAAGTTGGGGCAAAGCAATTTGAATGATTTACAAGATACATTAGAAATTAGTTTTTAATATGTTGAGGATTTCTAATAATAATTTCAACCTTTTCTCCACATAAAAAGTCTGAGATATAGGCCTACTGTATATGTTTGTGAAGTTCTTTTACACCCCTAAAAATCAAAAAAGCATTGCGACCCCCCCACGTTGGGCTCCCTTAGAACAATGCTAAGTTCTCTCTTCCTGCTTTTGTCTTCAGATGTGTTTTGTGGGTAATTATGCGTAACTGTCGTGTGGTTAAAAACTGTAAAGTGATATTTAACAGTGTTGTGTGGCAAAACCTCTTTAGATCAGATTTGTAGAGTACAGTAATGTTGTAAATGTCAACACTGAGACAGTTAGTTTTGTCTATTTAATGTGGTAGGTTGGATATGTTAGACTTTAAAGAAGAATTTAAAGTTACAGGAAAACTTGCTGTAGAAATAAATTTCTTCCATATCTACACATCTATGGCAATACACTAACATGACACACAGTGTAAAGGTAACAGGGATCTGGCAGCCATAAACTGTGCGTTAGACAGAGGAGCAATCAACTACCAGAACTGAAAACACAACAGAGCAGCTCCACCAAGTTTAACACAACGGAAGTAAATGAAGTTTGTTTTTGCTGAACAGTGACGGATTATCAATAACTCAAATATCAATAAACAGGATCCCAATCCCGGTGAAGTCCTTGGCATGTGTGCTCAAACAGTAGTAGTAGTGTGTGTAAGAAATGCATGTATCTGTGCTATTTCGCTATTAATTAGGGAAAAAAACCTCATCCGTTTGAGCTACACAAACAGTTTACGGCTCAGTTTGGTCTGTATCAGGCGGTGTTTGAAATTCACGCTGTACAAAATAATTTTGTCCTCAAATGTTTCTCCTGTAGTAGTCCTGCACTGTCCCAACATTTGACAGAAATGACCTCCTGTCAACTTAATAAGTCTGACTGTCACACATCACACATTGAAGGTTCCATATTTGGACCTGATTTTCCTTGTGACCAAACAACCCAAATGGGTTTAAAACCCAGCATCTGAACTAGGAAATAAAACATTAAAGCAATTTACAGCAGTTTGTGACATTTCCAAGAGCTTGATGGCAAGACATCATACACAATTAACACCCAACCCACCACAAGTTCAGTTTCCTGTGCCTTCAACCGCTTCTGAATCTTTGCTCTTGGTTGCATCTGTTTGTGAAACACTGTGTGGAAATGTACTGAGAAACCAGACTCATTCAGTTATTTTAATATTTGAAATAAAACGGGAATGACACCTATCAGCAAAGATACAAATGGCTTTGTTAGCATAGCAATACAGCTTTGCCATTAGACAAACGTCTGCTGATGAATACGTGTTCCATCATTGAGGACTCCTTGATACCATTTAGTGTCCATAGTTACTCACGTAAGCAGACCTGCTAGTGGATATGGTTTGAAGTCGGTGCACTGATGTTTGTGTGTTCCTGTTTTAGGTGAGTGAGGTGTACAAACTGCACAGGGAGACATACCACCTCGCTCAGGACTACTTTGATCGCTTCATGGCCACGCAGAGAAATGTCTTCAAATCAACTCTGCAGCTCATAGGCATCACCTGTCTCTTCATCGCTGCCAAAGTAGAGGTGAGAAGGGTTGGACTGATCCCTGGTTTTTAAGCAGGCTGTGGTCCATCTGAAATTGTACCTACAATATTGGTCTGTTGGTGTGATTGGTTGTTACAATGCTCATCTCACCTGTTTGCTTCTCCCAGGAGATGTATCCTCCCAAGGTCCACCAGTTTGCCTACGTTACAGACGAAGCCTGCACCGAAGATGAGATTCTCAGTATGGAAATCATTATTATGAAGGTAAAGAACATTCACACTATGAGCAATGACACATCCATATGTACTGGTCTACAAGTATCACTTAACCAATCTACCCCAACTGACGAAGCTTTGGTAGAACTTGGAATTATTGTCCCTTAATAAACACAACATAAACCACGAATGGTGTTCTCCTCGTTGTCTTTTATTACGTCATTTTCGAGCAAAGTCTGTGCAAAAGGTTTAGTTGTCACATTCCTGGAACCATGTACATTTTTTATTTAAGTTCAAGTTCCAACTGGTGGTATTGCTGTTTGTGATGGTTTTACGTCTCTGACGCTAACAGCCAATCTGCTCTTTGTCTTTCTAACACAGGAGCTGAAGTGGAGTCTCAGTCCACAGACTCCCATCTCCTGGCTTAATGTTTACATGCAGGTGGCCTACCTGAAAGAGACAGATGAGCTGCTCCTGCCCAAATACCCCCAGGATACCTTCACACAGATTGCAGAGGCATGTTTTATTTTTAATTTTTAATTCCTAGCTAATAATTTGATCAATCAGTTTGGTACAGAGCAAAGACAGAAATAGGAGGCCATACTATAAACACTATATGGATGTCTACTACTGCTCTTACTCCAGACTGTAATTCATGTAGGCTTTGCCCTCTAAAGGTTATTGTCAGTGGGACAAGGGCGCCTCGCCCGGCACCCACAAACATCCAAGTGGCACAGAAATACTACAACACCTGTTACTCACTAAGAGGGAATGTCACTGGGGAGAAGAAACATAAAGCCTGCTGATATGAAAAGCGCACACAGTGGTGTATGCACTGTAACAGTGGAGCGTAGAGCTCAGTAGGAGAGGGAACAGCTCTCCATTTTCCGAGAGGATGCTGTGTTTAAAGTCCCCCTACGACCTGTGAGAAGCAGTATTTATACAAAGACCACTGATTATTCGGTCGAGACTCCTCCTTTTTGTGGTACTTGTCTTGAGGTATCCTCTGATGTTTGATAACGGTTGTATTTATTTTTCTTCCCTTTTCTAGTTGTTGGATCTGTGCATGCTAGATGTGCGTTGCCTCGAGTTCTCCAATGGCATCCTCGCTGCTTCAGCTCTGTTTCACTTCTCCTCTCTACAAGTGGTGGAAAAAGTGTCAGGTAAAAACAACTTGTCTTCATTGGAGAGTTCTTGAGCAAAACTTACAACGTCCAAGTAAACTTTTTCCTGCTGGCGTTACCCTGGTTGTGTTGTCCTGACTTCTGTTCATCCTTGTGCCTGTGCAGCTCTGAAGTGGGTGGAGGTAGAGGAGTGCGTGAGGTGGATGGTGCCGTTCGCCGTGGCGCTGCGGGAGGTCGGCGGCTCTCCCATGAAAACATTCACAGGAATCCCTGCAGATGACATGCACAACATCCAGACCCATGCCTCCTACATTACATGGCTGGTAAGTGACAGTATTGTAATATACTCGGACAATGCAGAGTTTTACATGGCAAACATGTCAATTGAACACAGGACATGTAAAAATACGCAGACATTTTTCTAGAAAATATCTAAAGCTAACAGCGTTTTCAAATTTTTCCACAGTATGCTTGTATAATGTGCATAATGGACCTGATTGAGCACTGAGCCTGTCTCAAACTCTGCCCTTGTAGTGACAGCACAGTTAATCTGTATGTCTGCTGTTTACAGGACAAGGCCTACTCTTACCAGGATGTGGAGTTGGAGCGTCACAGCAACTGTCCTGTCCCTTCAGGCGTCCTGACTCCGCCCCTGAGCAGTGAGAAAACTGAAGAGTTGGTCCGAGTGGACGCCGCAGTGCTGAAAATCAAACCGAGGATGCGTACTCCATCCCCAGAGCGGCACCTTCCAAAGTAGCGAAGGGAACACTGAAACTGACAAGATGACAACAAATCCTAATTAGATTTTTTTATATTATAACTGTAAGTGGAGGTAAAGCTACCCGGACGTGTTGACGACTCTGCAGTACCAGTTCACACGCATATGACGGATTTTTAGTGGGGAAACGTTGATGGAAATAGTATTTTCTCCTTTCAAAGTCAGGCTGATTACTTGGATCCAGGTGCTTTTTAAATGTCTCTGTAGTGTGTGTGTGTGCGCGTGTGCGT